TTGTGCAGACTTGACTGGCGCCAGTCAAGTCACCTATTCTCTCTATTTGCTTGTCTGATAGCTGATTCATTGTTTTGCAATTCGATTTCTAGAAGGGAACCGTACGTACCTGTTGTGCACCTGCCTAAGGATTTGCCAATTGTTTTGCAAATCTACAAATCCTTGCAATTTACTTCTTCGCATGCTTTGTCTGATTGTTTTGCTTTGTTTTGATTTGTTTGATGATTTTGCAGTATTTCAGGCAAATGAAATACACAAACAAAAATACTGAAGAGCTTAGTATTGACATTTATAAATCAAGAATAATATAGAACATCTATAGTATATAGTATATAAATATATAATTTAACATTTAATTGTTATATATAATTATTTACATATATCGATGTTGGCAAACGGCGCAAATGCCATACCTATAAGCTTTATATATATCATATAGCTGACATAAATTTCTATGTAATACAACATATTTAAATAGAAATAAAATAAAGCTGACAAATCTACTACTACTACTATATCGATATACAGAGTTATCTCTACATATGTATAAATATGGGAGCATATGTAGTACGTAATACATTAATACGTAATGAGATTCAATCAAGATATCTTAATAATTTTTTTTAATAATTTAGATTTTTTTCTTAAGAGAAATTGTGAGTGCACTTCTATGTATAAAATAAAATCTTGGAAATTAGTTGTTATATTTATTTTTATATAGAACTCTATGTTAATATCGCCGACATTCCGAAGCTTGTTTGATTTCTTTCTCAGGGCTGAGTATTATTACAACTGTTCTTGTGGAAACATATAAGGCGCTTATGTACACTGGACTCTGTTTACAAATTCTGTTTTAAATAATAAACAATAAATTAAATACTATATAGTTTTTTTCTTGTATACTTTTAAGAAAGTTTAGAACATTATGTGCAATGAAGTATAAGTTGTTGTTCAGCGATTAAAATTAAAACTTATACCGTTTTTAATCAGTTAATCTGGGGAGCTTTTTCAATTTAAATTTACTTTAAGTGCTTTTTCACATTCGATTAGTAAGTCTTGCCCTGAATTTATAACTGTCTAGATTAATTTATAACACTCTAAACACTTTGCTAGATTACCGAGATTATCCTGAAACTAACTTCTCTTTCATATGACTTGCCAAATAAAGTGTGATTCGATTCAACATATATATTCTTGAAAAATATAAAAGCCTACTATAAGACCTAATAGTCCAGTCCAGTTCTTAGTTATCTTTAAAAATCATATTGTAATGTTAACTCACAAATAAATTAAATAAATTGAAGCTTACTAATACAATTATAAAAATGTTAGATTACTCTAAAAACGTTAGATTGGCTAGTAAAATTTGATAGAGTGAGAGTAAATATAGATTGCATTCAGATTTATCAATCGAAAATGCCATTAACGTGACCTGTTGGGTGTGGAATTATAGTAGATTGAATCCAAATTTACCAATCGAAAAAGCCGTTAGCGTGACCTTTTGAGTGCGGAATTATTTCTTAAATTGTACTCTTAAAAATGAGAAAAATTGTAGTGGAATGTATTTTAACTTAATACATCTAACTCACTTTTTGCATAGATAAATGACCAAAAACCGAAGAGAGAATTGAGTAAGAAAAAAATGGGTGAAAGTGAGAATGATTTTTGAAAATCATCTCCGAGAAAGTTTCTTGAAAAGTACGTTCAAATAACATTTTTTAATGTAACTATGATCTAACGTAAAATGACATTCACCTATCTATATGCCTAGGACATGTGCGTCGCTCTTCGTTCTAAAAGTACTGAACGAACGAATATATTTTAATGTAACTAGGACCAATGGTGGAATGACATTCACCTAATTTTAGTGATCCACTGACAAAGGTACGGGTAAATTATGTTTCAGTTGCAAAAATAGTTCTAGTTTGCTGTAATTCATTATATTCGCACAAAAAGAATTCATCTGACCTCAGTACTATAAAAGTATATTTCCAACTGAATGCATTTAATATCGATCATTAAAGCTTTTAGTTTTATATATTTTCATAAATCGATTATAATTTTATAGTTCAAATGTTTATAGTTTAGCTTCTGAACTCCAAAGTTATTGGAAATTACACTTAATACAGAACAAAGTATTTTATTAATGCGGTATTTTCTGCGTTTATAGTTTTATTTCGAATTTTTCAATATTTATACGAAACGATTAAAATTTCAAAAACCATAAAAATAGAAAAAAAAAATTTAATTTGATTTTTTCATCAATTTTAAGTGTGCGGAAAGTCATTAAAATGCCAAAAAGTGTTCACCCACAGTTCACTTCTTTGTTGCATGCCGCGCACTACTGTGTTCCAAATTTAGTATAAATTTAGTATAAAAATCAATTTTCTCTCTTGAGATATTTACATTTAAAAACCCACGTTATTGTATGATTGAAATAATAATGGTGGTTTTAACCAAAACATTGTATTAAAGCAATAGAATAATAAAATTTAATTTACTCGATTTCAGATTAAAATATTTTAATTAATCAAACGGAACACCTGCAAAGCTACTTCATACTATTTTTTGGTACTTAGTTTGTTTTTCATTACGTACTGAGTTTAGTTTAGAATAACTATAATAATACAATTTTTTTCTATAAATTTATATTATTTTTAATTATTTATAAAACAATATGGATTATATACATAAATGCTCTACACACAACCAACTTAAGGCTTCTTACGAAAGTACACTTAACTGTACGTTCACACTACATTTTTGCTCTCACAACTGCTCCAATCAGAAAATTGAGTGAATTTCTACAATAATGCGAGTGAACTTTAAGGAGAAAAATCAGAATTGCTAAGTAAAAATGTAAGAGAGTTCTTGCGCTAGAAGATTGTAGGATAGTTTAAAAGCAGTAAAGACGGGTAAAACAGCAAAACTTTAAGAGAGTTAAACATTTAATTATCATTTTAACTTCCTAATTTAGATTAAATGAGTTAATGTTTATTAATAGGTCAGCTGACTGAAGTTGTTGTTGTTGCTTTTTTCCTTCGTGCTCACTCGTAGTATACTCGTATTAGAATTCTTACAGACATTTTCGCATTATCACGGAAATTGATTTGAATACCTCTCATTATTTGCAAGTTTTTCTAAAATATCTGGCTGCACTTATTTTGAGTGTAAACATGTAATGTGAATGCATACCTAAGCCTGATTTTGTAAGAAATCCTAAGTTTGTAATCTAAATTTATAGTTTTCAGATTGTTATTTTTTCTTTTAAGTTGCAGAGTTTATACATATTGTTATATGAATAGGTTTTTATATTACTTTCTTCTTTTACTATTCTATTAGTTTGGAACATCACTATATTCATAAATCACAATCATTTACTATATTTTTATATTCAAAGGATTGAAATTTTTCATCTTAAATTTAGAGCCAATATTTGAAAATTTAAACCTTAAAATATTTAAAGTTGTCAGACAAAAAAAAACTAAATATTTGCTCTTTTGAGATAAATTACAAAATTAGTTGCTGGAATGCAAATATCTCAAACATTTCTGTCCAAAGTTGCACATTAATCACTGCAATATCTGATTTTTTATTCCTCATACCAACCATATTTGCTTACTGATGGCAAAGACGATAGTTGCGCTACTATTGGCATTATGGACAGCATTCTTCGTTATAAGAGAATACTACTATCGACATATATTAATTTTAAATATTTAAATATTTATTTTAATACAAAATTATAGCTATTTCATGTTTTAAACTCTTAGGTGTTGTTTTTATTTTACTAAAAATATTAAATAAATTTATTTTTAATTTATATTTTTTGTAAAATTGTTTAAATATGATTTAAATATGATTTATTTATTGTTTTTTAATAGCTTATTAAAATTTACTAAAAACAAATTTTTTTAAAATTTTTTAGGTCAAAAGTTTTAGTACAACAATAGCCAGCCCAACAGCCCCTGAGAGGCGATCAAATAAGTTATGAAACATTGGGTTTTATATATTTTAAATGAAGAAATATAATGTAAGCTAAATATCAATTATTTGGTTTAATAACTTATATAGAATTAGCCTTTAAAAAACAATATATATGTAATAATTTCATGGTTTTATATTAAGATAAACAATGAAAAAATATTAAAAATACTTTTATTAATAATTTATTTTAAAAGTTACGAGAATAGCAACTTTTAATTATTTATTAAAAATTAAATAAATAATAAAAAAAAAATAAACCTTTTACAAATTAAATAGTAAAAAGTATTATTTGTTGTGATATAATAAGAACTCATGTCTAACCTTTTCAATTTAATCCATGTTTTTTACCACTTATTTATAACATTAATAAATATTGATTTAAAATGTTTAGAAAATAAGGAAGTTCTTTCAGGGGTACGAAAAATAATTTACATATTTTCTCAAATCCTCTTATGAAAGTACATGATAAGTAAGGCTATGAGTGTTACTGGGTTTGTAAGAATTATTGACCGTTTTCCAGTCATTAATTCTATATAAACAAATATATTGTGTATATATATAGTTCACAAAAGATCAAGCTGGCCTAACCCATAATCCATTACCAATATATATATTGTACTTGGAAAGATGTTTTATATAATTCGATTTTAAGTTCTGAAAATTTATAACAGAGGAGAGATTAACTGTGTTCAGATATTTTATTACAAATTATAAGCTTTTCAAGTCACCTGTTATCTACTAACTTATAAGATTTAAAAAATTCTTTAAGCTTTCTAATTTCTATAAAATACTTTCAGTTATTAAAATCTTTCGAATACTTTTCTATTCCTTTAACTAATTTGAATGGATCAACTAACAATATGTAGCAAAACTTTAAACAAACATTTTGGATGGTCGAGAAACTTTTGCTAAACTTAGTTTTCACTACCACTCAAAGTAATTAAAATGCCATTTCTACAATCCGACATTGGTTTCAGTATTATAAAGCACTTTTCTGGCAGTCCATTACTCACCTCATCCTCCAAATATTTCACCCTTACAGCTAATGCTTCAACATTTTTATTTTGCTGCTCATTAACTGATTCTGTTTGTTGCAAATGCCTTTCAAGTGCCTCGAAATCTAATCGTCCATTGCAGGAATGACGATTCAGTAATTTAAGTTGCTCCAACTCTGGTGCATTCAAATATTCACTACCATCTGCCGTCTGTGTGGAGTCATCGTGGGAGCGTTGACTCTGTTTTTGCAACAGAAATTTACGCGAGGTTTGTATTTTGGATTGCGGTTTCTGGGGAAGTGAAATGCAATTAGAAAAATTATGAACCAAACTGGAGGATAAAATTGTTTTATATTCAACTCACTTTTTCATGTGAATTTGTATTGTTTGTTAGTGTTGACTTTTTGCTATGCTTTCCCAAAATCGGTGATGAAGCCTGTGAACTTGTTCGAGTACCCACCTCTGGTGTATGGTCATTTGTGGCTGAATTGGTTATGTTATTATTGTTGTTGTGCTGCAACTCTTTATTCAGATCATGCAATTCGGTCGGTGTACTCGGTTTGCTGCTGCCATTTTTAATGTTGCCACCAATTGTTGATGTTGTATCAGCAACACTGCGACCATTTTCTGTAAAAAAAATTTGAATAAATTTTAATAAATTCAATTTCAATAAAATTTACTAATTTTAAATATTATTACATTTAAAATATTTTATTTGCTTTTTTTTTTAAATTGTCTTTTTGAGCAAATAAACTAAATTCTTAATATTAACTATTGTTTTCAATGGAGTAGAATTTTAAACAGTAGTAAATTACAACAATAAATATTTTAAAGTAAACTTTTTTTGTCGAATGTGACGCGTCAACTAAAAGGGTTCAAATAGATATAAAAATACAACAACAAAACTCTTAGATAATTTATTGAAATTTGACTGACAACGCCAAATTTTCTAGTAATGCCAAATACCTAACATCAGTAGTTTTTTGGAATTATTTCTTATCTTTAATTATTCATAAACCATTTTTTAAGACTACAAGTACCAAGGTTTGAATTCGTGCACTGCCAAATTTGAAGCTCAGAGTCAGTGTTCATTAACCAACTGGTCCAAAGCCGTATTTGACTTGTATGTTCGTACATTTATCTGGAGTTTTGTTGATTTACTGTGAAAGTTCATTAACAAATTCATTTGTTGTATTATATTAGAATAAAATCATAAACCAGCTGTAGAATAATTGAATTAATTAATTATATATTTATTTTTAATTGTTAAATTTCACTATTATTCTTTTTATAATATGAAATAATAGTCAATTATATTCAAGTGCATAATATAATAAACTAAAATATAATTAACTATTATGAAATAAATATTCTAATAAATATGAAACTATAAACTATATATTATGTATAATAAATTTTTTATATTAAGTATAGCAGTAACTATGACTAACTGACTAGTATAATAAATTAAATATTTATTAACTTTGAACTCTGACAGAAAATTGATATTTAGATATGATATCATTATAACTGATGTATAATGAATCATATTTATCTAAGCTTGTATCTAAGAAGAAAACTAGTAAATTTAAAATTATTAAATTTAATATTTTTTTGTGATATAAAATAGTCATAAAAATATATGTAAACAATCATGAATATTTGTTTAGCACAAAACAAAAACAGTCATAAAGCAATATCCTCAATATAGATATATTAATCAACTGACTTCATTCAAGCTTCTTTGCATCATGGCATCATTTCACTTTATTCATTTCAATAAGAAATGATGACAAATTTAATTTCAAAAAACTATAAAAAATTTTTCTATAGAAAATAAAAAATATTATTAAATAAAATAAACAAAAACAAGAACTCCCCACAAGTTAAGATTCAATCAACTTCAGATCGTGATATTCCCACAAATTAATTAAAACTAGAGAAGGTTTACCTATAAATAAAAAAAAACGTTCGAACTTTTTTCGTTTAATCTATACAGAAAGGATGTCAACAAAAGATTGTGAAAAAAATATAACTTCTAGAACATCATCATATATCATCATATGCACAGTTTCTTATACACCAACACCAAGTGCTCATGTGATTCTTTAGATGAGTTTCTAGAATTTGGTTTTATTATAGATGGACCATATTAAACTGAAAGTTGCACATAGCTTAAATGCCTTCCATGTGTTAGAGGTAAGTACTTCCTCTTAATGGCCTCTACGGTGATATAAACCGGTACCGACATGGACGCATCCAGGGAAGTACTAGAGCGGGCTAAACCATCAGCTTCCTTGTTCCTTTCGATGTCCATATATTCAGGAACTCAGATGAGGGTGATGTCAGCTAACCGGTTTAGCTAATCAATTACTTCGCAACATTCTACTTTTAAAGCATAACAGCTCTATCAGATCGATAAGAAAAGAGACTTCAAAGTCTCTTAATCTTGTGCAAGAAAAAAATCATTGATAAAATAATTTAAATGCGCATTTCTTCTTCTTTTCAGACCCATTACTACGTTAAGGGTTACACCAAGTTTCATTAACATCTTTCTTATATGCAATAATTTGTCAGCGCAGATAATATAGTGCTAAGCAGGTGGTACCGCTTTGGTTGAAGCAACTGATTCGTGTGTTTCTTGTCCAATTTGGAAAAAATAAATCTTGAGTTCTGACAAGAATTTTTATTTAGTCAGGTGTTTTTTTAATTTATTCAGATAATTTTGTTTAATTGCAAGTTTAGCCGTTATGAGTGCGAATGTAATATCCGGGAAGGGAATGTCATGATGCAATATAACTTTCTTGATAAGCTTATCAAATTTGGCAAGTTCGTCTGCTTTGGAATGCTCGTCTGCTTTGACAAGCTGGTCGGATTTGGCAACATCGTCTGCCATGGCAAGTTTATCTGCTTTGGTAAGCTCGTCTTTATTGCCAGTATTGTCTGCCATGGCAAGCAGACTGTCTGTCCTACAGTTACCCGAGATGTCCTTATGTCCAGGTCTCCATATGAATTGGACACTGACTCAATAGGTAAGAGGTGGAGAGCAACTAAAAACGCAAATCAAACTAAATTGGGCAAACTCCTTGTAGACCACAATGTTGCTCGCTAGGAATTGTGGTGCTATCAATAAATTCTTAAGCATACCGCTTTACTCGCTATGATTTGGTAGAGAACAATTAAATGTGGATTAATAAATGGATGTATAGAGTGACATCATTGCCTGCTTTTATAACAAAACCAGATTTAATTATGACATAATTCTTGGACTCCATAGGTATAGGTATAGGTTGGAGTGGCGGCCTTGTATCCCAAAAAGCCCACTTAAGCACAAATAAAGGCCCGTTGTGGTACCACAGGAGTTACGTTATTTGTATATAGATTTTAATCAGTATACATTTAACGCCAAAAGAAAGGTAACGACTCCCCCATTATGCAAAGGAAAACCAACCTGACAGTTCTATGAACTTGGCTAGGTCCCTAACATTACAGGATGACAACTCAGTCAGGTCAGTTAGAAAAGGAGATCCAAGGATTTTTAATCTTCTTCTGGCTAGGGAAGGGCACTGACACATGAGATGGAGTACAGTCTCCTCCTCATCCTCAGAGCCACAGCCTCGACAAAAGTCGTTAAAGGGGAGACCCAGTCTCATAGCATGCCTTCCTATTACGCAGTGTCCCGTCAGCACAGATACCGTAGTGCTGAGCAGGTTCCGTCTTAGTTGAAGTAGCTGACGGGTTCTTTTCTTGTCAAAGTTCGGCCAAGTCAACCTAGAAATCTGACATTGAGGTTCGTCAGCCCAGTATTGCTTGGCTATACTCAGGTATTTTTGTATGATTGCCAGTTTAACTGTAGCAAGTGGGACGCCTATATCAGAGAGGTTAATGTTAGGGAGAAGAGCACCTGCCTTGGCTAGATCGTCTGCCCTACAATTTCCTGTGATATCCCTGTGACCAGGAACCCAAATAAGTTTGACCCTAACAAACCTAGCTAGGTCATTTAGTGAAGCACGGCAGTCTTGAGTTGTGATTGATGTGGCTGAGGTGCCAATCAGTGATCTGATGATCACTGATTGGACTCCATGATATGGACAGAAATGCTTATTACCAGCAACTGATTAAGTAAATATTTATGAAAGTATCTGTGAGATATTTATTTAACATGCATATTCTTTTTTCCCCTCGAAATTCTTTACTGTTTTGATACTTTGCTTACTTGGACATCTTTTTTTTTTTCCAAAAAAAAAGAGAATGCTTAACAACTTAAAGCAGCTGTTTTGATGGTGAATACACAGAACACAGAAACTTACTTCGACAACTTATTGAACTTTTGTGACCGCAAGGTTCATAAATTTTGCTAATAATACGAGTGTCTATCTACGTGCATAAATTAAGTCTTAAGTTGCGGTTGTTTTGACCAAAGTTGAAATGGTGAAGTGTGAAAGTTGAAGCTGCAATGTAAATATGTCAACTGGCTTTGTCCAACTGGCAAGTCGCCAGTTACGACTAAGAAGACATTGTAACGCAGTGATTGAAGTCAAGATATTGTGGGCTTGTTGCAGATTTGATGGTTTATTTAATGTTGACTGGTTGATTGACAGCTACAAAATTTGCAGCATATTTTGGTCAAAATGGCAAAAGCTGCATTTGAAAAGTTTAAAAATGCTTTGCTTTGAAGAGTGGTGCTGTGTGTAAGTCAAGTATCCACAATAAAAGATTTGCTGAGTTCACAAAAAAAAAGTGCAACTGAAAACTTTTATTTAATTAATTAATTAAGCATTGGAGTTGGAGTTTATCAAGTAGTCAGGGGTGCTTGGCCTCCAGAGATATCAATTTTTTCTTGATACATACGTACATCTTTTGACTTTTACATTTAAACGCATACATTTTGTTGGATTCGTTTTTATGGCAACAAATTGTCAACTTCATTTTGATAACGAACCATAAATGTGTTTACTTCTGGTCACCTCTGTCAACTGCAGATTGGTGTAGTGTTTTTTGGTTTTATATTTAATTTCGATTTCAGTGGTTTTGGCCAGGCTCGTCTTGGCTAGTCGTGGCTAGTCTTGGCTTGTCTTGACTTGACCAGTCTTTGTGCTGAAAATTGTTGCAAATTAGTAACGCGTTGTCGCCTTTTTACCGCATGCCTTGCGGTCAAGCGTAACAGTTTTTGTTAATTTGCTTGACTTTCTGTGATTTCTGTGATTGGTGATTTAATGAAACGAATTTGTGATCACACAAATTTGATGCAGTCGCCTTTACCAATGTTGCTGTGATATGCGTTGTTGTACAATAGTTGTTGTGCGATTGTAGACATTAATTGTGAATTGCTGTAGTTATCAGCAACATATTGTACTCTTTTAAATTGCTGCGGTTACATTTTAACATCAATTGTAAATTTATTTGTTTTTCTTGAGACGAAAGTTTGTAACAAATGACAAAGTACCTCATTAAAAATAAAGAAAAATCACTTTCAGATAGTGAATACATATTTTACGTAATTTTCACAATAAATATATTAATATATTTAATTGCATCTAAAAAAAATACTTAACTAAGAGAAAGTCAACAACAATAACGAAGAAATACGAGTGGATAATAAATATTGAAAATGAAATTACACATTC